AACCCAAAAACAGAAGTGTGTTCAGCTGTGCCATTGACAAATTTAAGTCGACCGGCTTGGTCTTCTCTTATGGTTATAAAGAATGCCAGGTCACCACAGACATTCGCCTGAGATCCTGAATTGAGTACCCACTCCACAAACTCAGACTAAGCCGAATGCATACCTTGGTTTTGGTTTACAGCATTGACTTGACGAGAGGCAGACGGTCCCCTACCACGACGGTCTTCAAATCGACGTGGAGACATGTTCCGCCCTTGGTAGTTGTCACGTCGAGGTGATGACCCTCGTCCACGCGAAGGATCATCACGCCACTGCTGCTGCGGAGGCGAATATCGATTTCGACTTAGTCGTTCATCCCACTGGGGCGGTGGTCCATACCGATTTGGTCTCTCATTACATCACTGCTGTTGACGCGGTGACGATCAGTAGCGACCTGGAGATCCTTGACCATGTGGACCAGGCCCTCTTGGACCACACCCTCGCGGCGACGGAGAGCGGCCTCTTCCTTTCGGTGAAGACCGTTCTCGATTATAGTATCAGAGTGGTGAACGGCTTCGTCCTCGTCGTCGAGTAGGAAAGACAAAGTGCCCAGCATCTTGGCTCCGAAGTCCTCTTTCGTACGCACTCTCCAAGGTAGGTCCATAATCATTTTGCACCCCTGGTTCTTGACGTCTATTAAACCCAGCGTCAGGACCCCGATAGCTATCCCCCGGCAGAGCCGAACCCCTTGTAGTGCAGCTTGATTGCGCCATGGCTCAAGTGTAGATCCTGGCGAGCTGCTCGTCAGTCCTGCACCCAAGTAGTAGATTACGGATTTCCAGGAAGGGGCTGGTCCAGCTGTAGGCCAGCCACCCTCCCACTGATTCTGCATAGTGCTTGATACAGCAGGCTGTATTCCAGGCTGTGCAGTTAATAGAGCTGCATGTTGTACGACAGTTTGCACAGCCTGTAGAGCAGCAGGTTGTCCAGTAGGTTGCACTTAATGTTATACAGCAGATTGTATGGTAGCTACCGGTACTTGCAGTGTAGACAGTGAAGCTTGTTGTCGCTGTTGATGGGGCCCTTGCCCTCCAACTTGTACATTCCGAACAGGAATTTGTACATGCAGCTGCAGTCGCTGCATTGTTTGCGACACAGTAGACTGAGTACATTGTGTACTCGTTTGAGCACTTCTTACGACACGACGCTCTCCCACACTCCGCAGGAGACGTCGATGACCACAGAGGTGATTGCGTCGCCGTAGGTGACCGCTCAGCACCATTCGTGAGATCATTTGCATTCGCATCGCATAGTAATAGACCAGCAAGCCGTCCTTAGTCATCTTCACCCATGGGCACCGCATCCACATGACGTACAGTGTTCACCAATGCCACGGAAGCCCTAGGCTGTCTCTCTTGCTGTTTTCTCGCGAGTTCAGATTTCAGTTGCTGGCCAGTGACATCAGTACACTCAGCATACCACCGTCCTTCGCCTTGCCAGCTTGCGCAGCTCGTACGTTGCTTCTTGTCTGCAACAACCTTGAATCGTTTACGTTGTTGCTTGTTGAGCTTGCGTTCTCGGTCTTGACCTTGTCCTTAGCCTTGGACATGGTCAGCTCCGACGTGAGCTACTTGCATGGGCTGGGCGACCGGTTGTCAGGTCTTCGCACGAAGCTGGTCACGCTCATGTCCGACAGCACGCAGTTGTTGAAAAGCTTCAGCAAGTGTCAGAGTCTTGCGATCATGGTTGTTGGTTTCATCGCCATGCTCGTGGGCGGGATCGTTGAGCGCTTCCACGTTGTTCGATAGTAGTAGGTTTGCATGCTGCCCCTCAGAAAATTCACCATTAGCTTGATGTAGAAGTGTCACCTTCTTGACAATGTCGTCAACGTACCACGACACAGACTCATTTTGGCTTATGTGTGCGCGTCACTAGCGTATGCAGTAGGCAATCAGGAGTAATACCATCTCCAGATTCGAAGTGCTGCGTAATCGCATCATAAAGCATAGCGGCAGAGTCCATGTTTTCGTCGATGTCGTCCATCTTGAACGTCACGCGCAAGTCCGCGGACATCTACAACGCTAGCGCGGAGAACGCCTTGTTCTTGCGCGCCTTGTACCACTCGCCGTACTTGTCGCGGCGCATGGCTTCCCCTTCGTCGTAACGCTCCGGGCCGTAGGTAATGTCACCCAACGTCGTCGGCTCGAGCCTCGCACTTCCAGGCCTTGTAGTCGCCCTTCAAATGGAGCTTGGGCAACTTGATCTCGGGCGAGTTGATGAGGACCTTGGTCTACTCAGCCAGCTCGCCGTCGCTGTAGCGGACAGTCATATTCGTGCTGTCCAGGGGGCACCACGGGTCACTGGGGTCTCGGTCGCCGTTTGGTTGGCTTGGCGGCGGCTGAGAAGAATTTTCAACTGGCACGGATTTTTTCGTGTTCGTTGATGAAAGTTTGTGCATACTTCGAGTAACATTTGAAATAACGGGCGACCACCCGGAATTCCAGCCGCTTCACTGTGCGATAGTGCTGCGTCACTGTTCAAGCTCGGACTTCCTGCCAATAGGGTCGAAGCTTGATCTTGATTGGTCAACATTCCAGGGCTCGTGTTTGGAACACCAGCTGTCACAATGGCCGCGACAGGACCATAAAGGTTTGGAACACGCGTTAATTACAGTTTGCCTAATGATACTCCCGGATACTGATAAATATTTGTTTCCCGACGGTATCACTACAAAAAGGATTGTATGTAAGATAAAGCTACATACGAATTCTTCAGGAGTAATCCCTACTCTTGGAATTCCTTCCGGCAGATATAAAATATCGGGTCCTAATGTCAAGATGATACAAGCCTAAGATGATATGTACCTCTCACCTCTCCCTCGTAACATGAATTACAAAGCTACAAAAATGACTGCTCTGAGGTACTACACTATGGAAAAGTCACTACATGTATTGTGCAGCACGTCCGAAGTACAGTACCCTTTTGAAAACCACGAACTTTCTTGACATGCCAATGAATAAAGGAGGCAACCGTCTGCGTTGCATGTAGCTGCAATTGTCGCTCGTGTTTTGTCCTTCTTTATGCCAGACCTGCGCTTTCTGGAGAAGATTCGCATGGAGAACAACAAAGCGGCGTCGTCCACATGTCGCTGATCGGCCCTCACCATAGCCCTTATTGCTGCGAAATCCACGCCAAAGGTTGAGCCTGTGAAGCCGCATCTTTATTCATTGACTTGACGGTTATTAATAGCTAGAAAATTGCGTCCGGCGCCTTACTACGCTCCAGTAGCTAAAGAAGCTCCTTGAGATGGCGAGCCCACTCGGCTAAGCTTTTTCGTATAGGATGGGGGTGGCATGATGCTGGGCAAATGTGCTACGTTATACTTAAGTAATCACATTGGTAAGCGTGGTGCGGGTTGGCTTGTTAATAAGTTTGAAGCTCAATTGAAGAGAGTCGGGAGCAGGGGCTAATGGTAACCAAATATCATATGATATTTTTGATAGTAATAGTACTATTTTCGATATTAAATATTAATAGTAACTCATTTTTGCAAAAGCTAACATAATATTTTTATATTAGCTCGGAGAACTGAAAAATATTAGATACTACATGATATTTTATGATATTTTCCCACTTAAGTACGTTTCTTGCCAGCTTACCTCTGTGAACCGAGCGGAGCCAAATAACTTTTTCGATCAGGTTCTAGAAAAGCAGTAGGCTTTAAGACTGACGAGTATTTGCTCTAGTATTTCACTGTGACACAGACAAAGGCGATCGAGATGGAAAACTGCAAACGCTTGCAGCTGTTTAACGTTGATAGAGCGAAATCAAGACATTTGTTCTTGTTCTCTTCCGATCTCCTCGTCGACATCGTGCGTCTAATAAACCTGCTGCCTGTGGCGCTAGATTAATGCGCTCAGCAGTGCCAACACACAACGCCAACCTTGCCGTCACTCACAATTGTCCCGGTACTCACGGTTGATTAGTAATACTTCAGCTAGTCGAGCGTTAACGACATCTGATTAGTTAATGTAGCCCGATTACGCAATCATTGAAAAATATAATATCGTATTAACTAATATTAAGTTGATATTTAATAATATCATATTGTCTCAAAAGAAAATATTAGGTGATATTTTTTATATTAACTGGTCTACAGGTGATATTTTCACAATATTAACTTCACCGATTTTGGAGTTACCATTAACCCCTGGTCGGGAGGGCCGCACACGCAATACGAAACGGATGATACGCTGCTGGCTTGTACGTTGGCTTTTTCAATGTGTACCATTTAGAAGGTACCCTTGGATTAGCCACCCCACGATGGGAATAGGGGAAGGGTTCATCTGAGCTTTTTACACTCAATCCTTGATTTCTTGCGAGAACACCCCTAGTGAGTCCGAGTAAACATCGGACGCCGACAAATCAACAAAGTTATATTCATGCCTAGCTAGAGACACCTTTGTGGTTTACTGCATTTTCCTCTTTTTTTTTCCTCGCGTATCGTACATACGATACGCGAGGAAAAAAAAGTGTACTACACAAGTTGTGCATTCGATCCGAATGGATTCGGACAGGATGCAGCACTGGATTGGCAGGCAACCCATCCGCCATTTACCGTTCGTTACGAACTTTGCGCTTCGTGACTCGGCCTACAAAAGCGTACCAAGGTAAGGTACTTTACTGCACGTATTGATCAATATTGGATCAAGATGAGCGTTCACAGGACCGGTACCGGTACCAGCAGAATCTCTCCACGACATTGATTGGTTGACACGTGCGCGTACGCTACCTAAATCACGAATTACTATTGCTGTGCCTATCCTACACACGACACATAAGCAGATGCTTTGGCAGAGCATCTGCTTATGTGTCACTGGCATGGGCAGTGCCCTGCTCTTTTCTCGCGGATCGGATCCTCACATCACGTTTAAACGTGAAATCGCGACCTGTGATTACCAACGCAGTAGCTGCTCTTCACAGTGCGATCGTAGAGGAATTCCTCCCACTCGGTAACGACAATGACCCCCAGCCTACAATGCACAAAGTCCCGAGTGTCCTGTTGGCCTCAGCTACTGCTTATCAGCTCTATATCCTTTTCGATACTGATGCTGCTCTCTCTGTGGACAAAGTTACCGCGTCACGAAGCGCTTCGTCGCTCTGTAGCTGTTGCTCCAAGAACATCACCAGAGCAAGCATCAGACCTCTTCACCCTCGTCCAGAAGCGTCGGAATAAGACACTAGCCATGGACACGGAGATGCTCCACCTCGACGATTTAGCGCGCTCCGATTCATACCAGCAATGGGCGCCTCTGATCGTGTCGAAATGCATGCATGGGATGGACAAACGGGCAGCACCTTGCATCCAGGAAGCCAACCGAACAAATATCGTTGAAGCGCAGGAGCTCCTGTATCCTGCTTTTCGACTGAAGCTGCCTAGTTTCGCCAACACAACGATGAAAGCTAAGTGGCTATCCCAAGGTCTTCACGTCGCTCGTATGCGTGTTTCGGAAGACCAATCGTGGGCAGAGTACCCCACTTTCCAAGGACAGAATCTGGTGTTTTCCAACGCCTCATACCGAGGCGATCCACCGCCAGACATTTGGTCAGACACCGGATGTATGGGTCACGACGTATCCCACGCGTCGTTTATGCACGCCCTGAATAGCAACGTCAGCGAGCTGGCAAATAAAACGAGGGTTGACACCCTCGTCGTTGCTACCAGTCCAGACTCGTGGTCCTTTCAGCACTTCGTCGACCGAGTTGCGGTTGTCTGGAGCCAGGCGCAACTCGTAATCCCCACTATGAAAAAGAACGATACGACCATCGTAGCAGGTAGAGAACCCCGTGATTCCATTGTGAAATGAGATCTATCAAGTCATGGTCGGACAACATCTCCACAACCCGGAGTCGGTGCTGGCAAAGCGTCTCGTATTCTCGTGTCGTGCGCCATTAATTCATCCCTTCACGACTCAGCGTATTACGGAAAATATCTTACAGTCGTTGCCTGCAGCGATAAGCTCGTCCGAGGCTGACCGCAACATTATTTTATTCCTATCACGGTCAAACGGGGGTCGAGCGTTTAACGGTGGACGACAAATATTGAACGAGCCTGAAGTGTTTGAGGCTATCTCAGCGATGCTAAACGCTACGGGGAGACCTGAACAGCTGCAGTACTTCCGACATGACGAGTTCAATGGACTGGAAGACGTTGCGTCGTTCATGCGAGACCGCGTGAAAATGATGATCGGACCACATGGGGCGGCATTTTACAATGCCCGATTTGCACAACCTCGCACGGCACTAATCGAGATCATCCCAGATCCTGGCAAGTTCTTTGTTCCGTGTTTCTGGGAGCAGGCTCGACTCCTTGGTCAGGACTACTCAGCTCATGTAGGGACCACACAGAACGGGCAAAACGATATGGTGGTAGATGACGTCCAAAACGTGGTTCAGCTGGTTCGAGCTCGACTGGCCTACTTGGACAAAGCCTATCGCATGCAGCATGCACTGGACCACACATATGCATGGGATGTGGCAAGGTGACCGTAATGCAACTCATTTAAGTCGATATTCTAGAAGATATTCACAATACTGTATGCTATCGCCCCTAAAATGTAAAAATAGACGACGACTTCGTTTACTAAATACTACTTTATAAAGTGTTATAAAGCGTTACTGTACCTGTAAATGGGATAATAATCCGTAGACTGAGAGTCCTTAATATATAGTACTTGTTTATAGGAGTTTTCATTATGGAATATGTCGTCTGGGCTAAATTAAGACTAAAAAGATAATAGCTTATGACAAAATACTGGAAGACACAATATGTGTATTAAATTAAATCGAGCCGTTTTCTCGATACATAAAGCGCTACCCGGTAGTGAATAGCATGATTAGGTGGTACCAACTAGGGGACTGGGAACCCAGATTAGAAGAACTGACTTTGTATTCGTAAAAATGGCTTCTATTACTCTTATTTATTGGTATTTGCTCAGAGCTAGTTCGGTCGAGTACGTGCAGGAGATTGCTGTAGTCAACTAGTAGTGTAAAATACTCATCTTGTCTTCATTACTCAAGCCAGCAAAGACGAGTGTATTTGCGAAGCCAAGTCCAGCGCAGCGTGTAGTAGTGCATCCGGCCTTCAAATTGCGAGTGCAGCAAGCTGCCCACTGCTAAATGAAGCATCTTCAGCTTCAGAAGGGCAATCCTTCTGTCATGTGATATCAAGCCAATGCATTTAAAAGGCTAAACGTAGAAACGCAGCCAGTCAATTTGATCTCCATTACAGCCTCTCTTCTTGTAAGCAAGGCTTACCGGTGCAATCTACTTAGCTCCGAGATTCTCTGCGGTACCAACTGCGTGCAGATTCGCGTACTTCGCGTCCTCCATCAGCTTGACTATAGCAGCGCTCTACGTCGCTGCGCGTAGACACTTCTGACAGTGCTCGACCCGTCTCCTTTAGCGCATTATCGAGCAGCTTCGCG